TATTTCCAATCTCGTATAAAATTTTGTGTATATGGGTCCATTAGTTTTACTGAGATACGCGCGCGGAAACACAGACAAACACAAACAGACCCGGTTGTAATACCCTCCACCCCCCTTCGGGGGTTTGTTTGTGAATTTTGTGCAAAGCTACACGAGGGCTATCTGCGCTATCCGTCCCTAATTTAGCAGTGTAAGACTAAAGGGAAGGCAGCTAGTCATCACCACCCACCGCCAACTCTTGGGCTACTCTTTTACCAACGAATAGTGGGATTGACCGTCACATTATAATACCCATAATGCTGAAAGGGCAAGCATGTTTGGTGGGATGGGGATTAGAACCCGCGACCCTCATACTGCGTGCAGGTCGAGCTCCCTAACCACCTGGTCATGCCGTGCCCCTTGATATTGAACAGCCTAAGCGAAATTAATACATCCAATGCATTTAGTTTGAAAGAAAACAAAGAAAGTATTTCGTTATTAATATTAAAAAGCAATAAATTGTAATATTCTGTATAATCCATAAGTTACAAAATAATTTACGCTTATTTTTTATTGTTTTCTTTTTTTAGCCAAAAACAGTTATGAATTTTTTTGGTACTTTTAAGGCATAATGCTTGCTAGTAATTACAAAGTTTATAAATATTACATTTTTATTTTAAACCACGGCCTGGGGGATGGGGGGGTTTAGAGTGTTTGACTTGTGATCTATGGGTTGCTGGATCGAAAACCGTCGCCTAACATGCTTGCCCTTTCAGTTTTAGGGGCGTTATAATGGTACGGTCAATCCCACTATTCGTAGGTAAAGAGTAGTCCAAAAGTTAGCCTTGAATGGTGTTGACTAGATGCTTTCTCTGTACTCCACTTCCAAATTAGTTACGGCCAGCTCAGATAGCCCTCGTGTGGCTTTTCGCTAAATTCAACAAAATTTTAACCCACACAAGGTATTTTGTATTATTGAAATAATTTAGAAATTATTCTGTGCTTAAAAATATGAGTTTATAAGTAAACGATTTCGAATGTGGTCAAAACTCCTGAGCATTGAAATGGCAAACCTCATGCGACCTTTCTACTGGAATTACTTATCTTTTGATGATCGTAGCCTTCTTTCTACAATATGAATATTAGTTAGTAATAATGACGTACCAGCACAAAGTATTTCTGATGTGTCGAGAACGTAATAAGAACTGCTAAGGACAATACTGCTTTGATAATTAAAATATTTAAAAATACGCTCTTACAAATAACGCCCCCAGTGGCACAGCGGTATGTCTGCGGACTTGCAACGCTAGAATCTGGGTTTCGATACCCGTGGTGGGCAGAGCACAGATAGCCCGTTGTGTAGTTTGTGCTTAACTTCAAACAAACTTACAAATAACGTGCTACAAAATACAGGAGTTCTGCTCATCTTCTGAAAAATATACTTAATAAAGGATCCACAGCGCGGAATATTTTGCGGAAATAAAAAAAAATTGTCTTTTCTTACTCATGTGGCCCGGCATGGCCAGGTGGATAAGACGTTCGACTCGCAATCTGAGGGTCGCGGGTTCGAATCTCCGTCCCACCAAACATGCTCGCCCTTTCAGCCGTGAGGGCGTTATAATGTGACGGTCAATCCTACTATTCGTTGGTAAAAGAGTAGCCCAAGAGTTAGCGGTGGGTGGTGATGACTAGCTGTCTTTCCCTCTTGTCTTACACTGCTAAATTAGGGACGGCTAACGTAGATAGCCCTCGTGTAGCTTTGCGCGAAATTCAAAAACAAACAAACAATCTTACTCATGTAATTTCACCTCCAGCACTCGTAGCCAGTGTGTTTAATTTTTGGTTATTGTTTTGAACAAAATACTCAGAAAGTTAAATTTTATGGATTCAACAATGTGTCTGAACAATGTTATCTTGTTAAATTTCACGGATTCAACAATGTGTCTGAACAATGTTATCTTGTTAAATTTCACGGATTCAACAATGTTATCTTGTTAAATTTCACGGATTCAACAATGTGTCTGAACAATGTTATCTTGTTAAATTTCACGGATTCAACAATGTGTCTGAACAAAGTTATCTTGTTAAATTTCACGAATTCAACAATGTGTCTGAACAATGTTATCTTGTTAAATTTCACGGATTCAACAATGTGTCTGAACAATGTTATCTTGTTAAATTTCACGGATTCAACAATGTTATCTTGTTAAATTTCACGGATTCAACAATGTGTCTGAACAATGTTATCTTGAAGATTGAGAGAAACACGTCGTTTCGTGGTTTCAAGAATGTTTTTGAACACTGTTAACTTTTTGATTCAAACACTCAGCATTTAGAGGTTCAAATATGCCTCTTTTATGCAGTTAACTTTTTGACTCAAAAATCTAAATTTCCTGGATTTAACAAATTTCACGGATTCAACAATGTGTCTGAACAATGTTATGAAGAATGTTTTTGAACACTGTTAACTTTTTGATTCAAACACTCAGCATTTATAGGTTCAAATATGCCTCTTTATGCAGTTAACTTTTTGACTCACAAATCTAAATTTCCTGGATTTAACAAAAAATTTTGCACAAAAATTAACTTTTTTATCTATGAAGCGTAAACTTGACATATTTAACAATGTTTCGAAACAATGTTACCTTTTTTTTTTGCCCCAAAGATATAAATTTGATAGGGAAGAATATAACTTAGATTTAGGGACCACATCGCATGGATTTGGCAATATGTCTAAACACGTTCCTGTTAGACTGTTAAACGTAAAAATATATAATAAAAAAAATCTTAATTGCTGTGCAGTGTAGTTAAAAAAATTCCTTTAAATCCCAGTTGTAAAAAAAAACAACAGAAAAACTGTTTATGTGGATCCTTCTAACGTATTTTATAAAATTCTAGTTTTCTTTTACGAAGTAAAAATATCCACGGGGCACAGATGCTATATATCACGGAGTTTGTGTGAAACAACTGTAACACACAGCTTCTGTTATACTCCAGGGCAGGGGTCATCATAACATTTCAAGTGCCAGTAATATATAGAGTCGAGAATACGTCAAAATTCGTCGACGCGTAAACAACTTTAACCTAAAACAGCAGATCAACAGTGTATAATTATACTACAAAATTCACATTTCATTTTGTTACACAACCTAATTGTTGGTTTATGTTATATAAGTCTGGTCATTTTGATTTTTGTTAGTTTGTGTGTGTGTGTGTGTTATCATAAACGTCAAACAACCTAATAATATAAGCGTCAAATAACCTAATAATTTAGATTTTTAAGATAATACAAATTAAGTGTACGTACTCCTAGCGGTAGTTTTATGTGCTTATCGCAAATGCATCTGATATTTAAACTTTATAGAAAACTGACGAACATTTAATATTAATATTTCCCGGAAATTACTTTCACATCAAATAAGCCACAGGTTGCACCTATTTATCAAATGAAACGTTCTATAGTACAACTCCACACACACAACAAATATTAGTGTAAAATCCATTCTGTTTCTATTACGTTCACAACAACAAATTTACAATTAAAAATAAAAACAAAACTCACCTCGTTAGCTTCAGGTGGTCTATCACTTAATTCATCCTATATTGACGTAGGATTAAAGAAAAAAAAATCAATTTTTTTCGTCACCAGTCACAAAAAAAAAAATTAAAAAATAAATAGAGTAATAAAATATCGAAACTGAAACTAACAATCACGTTCGCGGACTGTATTCGAAAATAATGGCAATTCGTTCCCAATAAATAAAGAACAGCATAAAGTAACAGAGGCTACTATAAAAATACGATTGCACAATACTCATTTCAAATATATTAATTCCATTCTACTGAAATCGAGTAAATAATACGCTTGAAGTATGAACGATCTTAATAACTTTATAAGAGAACGGTAGACACACATATACATATTTATATTATAAATATATGGGACATTACTGCACAAAATTAACCTCACCTAACAGCGTATATCTTTACACTCGAATGTTGTCATATGAGATAGGGCGTGGGAACGATATCTTGTACATTGACTGATCGATAACAAAAGTCCGGGGTCTGAAACAGTTGCTTCTACATGGCCAATGAAACTGATTAGGCTTAAGCTGCGTTATACCCCTACACGACACACGCGTAAACTTTGTTAGTCAGACTCTTTATTCTATGTAACCCTTACCTTAAGTTAGAGTCTGAAGAAAGTAAAGAGCGCTATTCTCAAAATAGAATACGATAGCGTCCGACTCACGAAGAAGTCATTTTGAAAAGACACTATTTGGCAATAACTCTACACATAACATTTTTTTTTACTTTCTAGCGCTAAGACAAAGTAATGATTCATTCAAGTACACTTTAGTCTCCTACCCCGACATGTGGCGGACTGTGTGGAGTCGTGGACGAGGTTGTTCGGTAATTTAATGCTATGTTTGACGACAGTACACATACACGTACGTGCACCAATAAAACGTGAACATATACGTTATTTTTATTTAAGAAAACATATACGGTACACACACACAGTCGTTGGCTGGTCTATTAAAATATGACATAATGATGTCACGTGGTTTTTGGAATGCTGTTTTTAAGCTCCCACACTTAAAGTACAAGCGGCACTTTTCCGAAACGTGTTGGTGGAACTAATGAGTAAATTGACCTAATTAGAATCATTTATAGCTGTTTGATATTGACAATACAAGTAAAAATTACAAAACTGTTTCATTTCTTCTCATCCACCTATTGGTCTTGCTTTTAAATAGAAGAACTGTGTTTACTCAACAGGAAAATTGTTTTATTGTACACAGTAACCCACGATGATGTACGAGGTCCTTAATCTTTCACGGTAGCGCAATTTTCTGGACATCGAACTTTGACCTTCACTCTTAGAAAATAAAAGGATCCAATTTTACTTAATCTTGTTTGCAAGTACCTGTTCTTTCAACACAATTGTTTGTTTAATAAATATAACATTCAAAGGTAAAGATAACGAAAATAGATTTGGTTTTGTTTTATTGTGAATTTCGCGCAAAGCTACACCAGGGCTATCTGCACTAGCCGTTCCTAATTTAGCAGTGAAAGTCTAGAAGGAATGCAGCTGGTCATCACTACCCACCGCCGACGAATAGTGGGATTAACCGTCACATTATAACGCTTCCACTGCTGAAAGAGCGAGCATGTTTGGTGGGACGGGGGATTCGAACCAGAGGCCCACAGATTGCGAGTCGAGCGCCCTAACCACCTGGCCATGTCGGGCTGAAAATAGATCAACCCTACGACTGATGACTTGCTAGTTGTTGGCGGTTTTTAGTTATCCCAAAATAGAAAAAGAAAATGACCACACATATACATAAGAACTGGTAAATGAAATACTAATTTTCATTAGACAAGCTTCAACAACTTACTTAACAATGGCTTAAGTGTTTGAAAGTTTACCACAAATTTTATATCTAATAGAAATTAATATAAATACAACACACTGCTTTGTATAATGTTTCTACGCGTGTCGTACTTATTAAGACATAATAGTTTATAATTTTGTTTGTTTGTTTTCGAATTTCGTGCAAAGCTACACGAGGTCTATCTGCGCTAGCCGTCCCTAATTTAGCAGTGTAAGACTAGAGGGAAGGCAGCTAGTCATCACCACCCACCGCCAACTCTTGGACTATTCTTTTACCAACGAATAGTGGGATTGACCGTCACATAATAACGCCCCCCACGGCTGAAAGGGCGAGCATGTTTGGTGGGACGGGGGATTCGAACCCGCGACCCTCAGATTGCGAGACCAGCGCCCTCACCACCTGGCCATTTGTAACTTATTCTATGGTATTTAAACAGTTTCAACTTACTTGACTCAAGGGTCTCATCTTCTCGTGGATTCTAAGTTTGGCAGTGGGTGATGAATGACGAGAAAAATCCGAAGTTGGAGGAAGAGCGTAATTTGTGGGATTTAGTGGAATTTGCACCGTAGTTCTTTTACGACGGAAGTCATGAGAATTGGGTTTGGCTTTTGCACTGATTGATGGAGGCAAATTTTCGTAAGAAGAAGTAAACATCTTATATTTGCGTAAGGTAGTTGCACTCTCGAACCTTCCTCGATCGGTCACAAACGGTATATTAACATACATTTCAGATAAACTGTTCACATTAGACACGTCACTTACACATTTTTCTGTATTTTGTGGGTTCTCCAGATTGACTACTTTGTCATCGCTTGCGCCATCAGTAGAGTCTGCTAGAACTGTATTAGTGTTTTCATAGTTTTCTGCTATACTGTTTCTGAGCTTCATATCGACATATTCTTCACCTCCTCTGGCAGGGTGGGCGAATTCTCTGCCGCTTGTGGCTAGACAGAGGTATTCATAAATTGAATCAGAACCAGTCCTGTGAAGTTTATTACTTGGTGAAATTGTTGTTACTGTTGGCCGTCTTGGGGGCTTGGCAGGAGGCTGGAATAATAATAATAAAAAAAAAGGTGATTTTCTATAGGGTTGGTAAAACTATACATACAGATATTAGTTCGATGCCACAATATATTCAGTAACTAAAAGCTTTTGAATGTATTCATTTCTGTACTAAAATTAAGATGTATGATTTTTGAAAGGTCATTCGGTAATAAGATACGTGTACTTACAGTTTGTTTGTAATTAAGCACAAAGCTACACGATGGGCTATCTGTGCTCTGCCCACCACGGGTATCGAAACCCGGATTCTAGCCTTGTAAGTCCGCAGGCATATCGCAGGGGGGGGGGCTTTGTGTCCTTACAGTAAAATTTAGAGACTTGTATCGTTTTTGTTGTTTTCTTTTCAGTATTCAATTCATCCTAACCTTACCCGGGTTGCTTTTGTCATCAGAATTAATCCCTGCTACGGGAACATACATATTGATGAAAACAAATATGGAAAAAGATAGACATAAGTAGGAGGTTAAGGCTCTATCTTAATTGCACTTACAATATCAGACATCAATAGTTGATTTGGCCAAATATATATATATATATATTGTCACACTACTGTTTCAGGGTTTATTAGAAAAATATGCCTATATTAGACTGTGAAGCAATATCCGGTCATGTGACCTCTTTGTTCTGTACTGTATATATATATACTCGTGTATCTCTGTAAGTTACTTTACTGTAAATCTTGTCGAATGGTCGTCGTACATTTATTATAAAGTTTTACGTCAAGCCGTCTCAAAACTTTGATTTTCTAAAAGGTTATCAAGTTTTAGTGTTGTACGTCCGTTCGTAAACTTATCGCTGACCCCCATTCACTGTTGACGGAAACACTTAAATGTTGTCAAAACTCATGTTTATAAAAATACAGATGTTGCCAGAGTATTTTAAAACATCGACTAATTTATAGAAGAGCAGTAAAACGTTCAAGAAATGTTCACTTACTAAATAAATAATTTTAAATTAATTAGCTCAAACAAGTTGTTGTTGTTGTTGTTTTTAGTGCAAAACCACACAGAGGGCTAATTGTACTCTGTCCACTGCATGGTTTTGTTTGTTTGTTTATAATTAAGCACAAAGCTACACAATGGGCTATCTGTGCTCTGCCAACCACGGGTATCGAAACCCAGATTCTAGCGTTGTAAGTCCGCAGACGTACTGGGGGGAATCGAACCGTCGAGTTTTGCAATTTAAGTCCGTAAACTTACCGCTGACTCACCAGGGGGGGGGGCATTTTGATAAAAAGATAAACAAAAATCGAGAAACTGTTAACTGACAATGTGTTTTTGCTACGATGTGAAGTTTGTTTTTTGATTTTCTTCAACGTAAACCAAAAACTCATTTTACTATACGTAACTTACATCGTACATATTTAAAACAATTTGTAAATACCTCTAAAGGTTTGTTTGTTTAAGCACAAAGCTACAAAATGGGCTATCTGTGCTGTGTGGGTATCGAAAGCCGGTTGTTAACTCTATAAGCCTTTAAAATTACCGCTGAGCTACAGGGAGTCATTTCTAATGGAGATTTAATGGACAGGTTTATTTTTCTTTTAAGAAGCACCAGTATTTCATCATATATAACAAATTTGCTTAAATAAGTTTTTAAAAGTACAGTAATATATATTTATATTGTACTGATATCATATACTTAACTTTCTCGAGTGCTGTTTGGCACTAACCGTCCCTAATTTAGCCGTGATGGACTAGAGAGAAGGCAGCTAGTCAACACCACCCACCGCAAACTTCTTGGGCTACTCACTACCAACGAATAGTGAGATTGACCGTCATATTATAACGCCCTCACGACTAAAAGGGCGAGCATGTTCGGCGACGGATTTCGACCTCGTGACCTGCACATTGCGAGTTGAGCGCCCTAGCGGTTAAATCAACTGGCAATTAAGTTAATACTACTAACTTGAAATTGCTATAACATATTTGTTTGTTTGAAGTTAAGCACAAAGCTACACAATGGGCTATCTGTGCTCTGCCCACCACAGATATCGAAACCTGGTTTCTAGCGTTGTAAGTCCGCAGACATGCCGCTGTGACACTAGGGGGCACTATAACATATAACACTGTGATTAAGGTGCCAAGAGGGGCAGAAACAAAAATCTTGATGTTCGCTTTATATTTATCATTATTAAGATAATCAGTATTCGGGATTATTATCACGTTCAAATTCTGGGTTCGATCCCTGCGTTTCGCTTATATAAACAAACTAAAGTAAATGCTATACATTTATATATAAAACAATGTCCTAATTTTAATTTGATCGAAATTATATATTTCTGTTAACGTTTTTAAAAATGAGTAAAAATATATACATTTAATTAAAAAATAATTAAATAAAAGATAAATAAAAATTATATGAAAGTACACAATATTTAACAGTTTTGATTTTATTTTCATTATTTTCACCGCACGTTCACAGATTCAGAATTTTCTCAGCTTTATTTACCAAAAGTATTTGACAAATTCTGATTGGTTGTTTTAAAAACAGCACTATGAATATTTTATTTGTTGTTGGGCGCAAAGATACATAACTAGCCTGTCTGTGTTGTGCGACCACTTCACTCGAAAAAGGATTGTTTGTTTTGAATTTCGCGCAAAGCTACACGAGGGCTATCTGTGCTAGCCGTCCCTAATTTAGCAGTGTAAGACTAGAGGGAAGGCAGCTAGTCAACACCACCCACCGCCAACTCTTGGGTTACTCTTTTTACCAACGAATAGTGGGATTGACCGTCACATTATAACGGTTCCACGGCTGAAAGGGCGAGCATGTTCGGTGACAGGGATTCGATCATTCGAACCCTCAACTTGCGAATCGAGCTCCTTAACCACCAGGCCAAGCCAGGTCCCCCTGTCGTTCAGAATACAGCAAAAGGAAATCAAATCAGAGGCCCTGAATAATCGTGTAGACTTCAATAAGATCGTTCTTCTTATTCAGATAAGTAACATTTTTTTCATTACTAAAACTTATTCGTACATGTTAGGCTTAGTATCACTAGCTTCAATAGTCTACATACTTGGAGTTTCATACTTCCGCCTGCTTCCTTTAGTTGAGTCATTGGGATGTAGTTACTTGTGCTTGTAGCTGTACATGAGAATGTTCCAACTGAATCTGAAATATAACAGTAAAGAAATAAACAATAAATACACTAAAAAAATTGAATCGGCAAATAAAAGCGGAGAATTAAATGTTCTATAATTATTAGTCTGTCATTGGCTACAGAATCATTAAAATAAAGGTATAACATTGAAAGTGCATATGCGTTTGCAAAATACAGCAAAAACTGGAGAAATAAGCTAGTTCGGTAAGTTTTGTAGGTTTTGCCCTAAATATTCTTTCACTTCAGACTGAAACAATTTGCTTTTTGACATGATCGTTTGTAAATGTTATAAAGCTAAAATAATTTTTCAAATGCAAGTTTAATGCATAAGCATTTCTGTGTAAGAAAAATTAAAATAATATTTATCGAGTCTTGTAATTTTAAAATTATAGAACAAAACAACAACAACAACAATGATCAAGACACTAGTGGTGCCATCTGTAGTTTTGCAAATTATTTAACAAAAAAAAAATAGAATGCTGCAGCTAAATTGCCCCCCTTTTGGGGAAATAATTTTGTAAAAACTAAACGCAAAATAATAATAAAAAATATCATAATTCTATCAAGCCTTTTATCCCTTATAAAAAATATCTGTCTTTAAATAAGAAGCGATCATTATACGGGTGTTCGAAAAGTCTGGAAACAAAGATGATTTGCAGCTTTTCTTAAATTCAGGTACGTGACTGATTATGGAGCTGTCAAAGTATGAGAAGGTCTAGTTAATCCTGCTGTAAATTCAAACTTGTTTTGAATTACAAGGACAGCATGTTGAACACATTCTGTAGTGTTCATTGACTTTCCCAGACTTTTTCAACAACCAGTATATTAAGTTTGTTTGTTTTGAATTTCACGAAAAGCTACACGACGGCTATCTGCGCTAGCCATCCCTAATTTAGAAGTGTAAGACTAGAGAGAAGGCAGCTAGTCATCACCACCCACCGCCAACTCTTGGGCTACTCTTTTACCAACGAATAGTGGAATTGACTGTCACGTTATAACGCCCCACGGCTGAAGGTGCGAGCATGTTTGGTGGGATGGGGATTCGAACCCGCGATCCGCAGTTTGCGAATCGTGCTCCCTAACCACCTGGCCATGCCGGGCCCAGTACATTACGAATATTGATTAGTTAAAATCAGATCACTTGAACATGATACTAAATCATGAAATTCAGATGATTAAAAAAAACGAAAAGAATCACAAGAAAAAAATATAAAGAATTATGAGTAAAACATTGCATTTTATGGCATGCTCTCACAAAAGTATGGGACTTCTAATTCAAAATTCAAAGTCACGAGTGTTATAGATTCACAGCATGAAATATAAAGAAGGCTGTTAGAAGGGCGAAACAAGATTTAAAATTTCTATTTTTTTCGTCTTCTAAATATCGCGCAAAGCTACACGAGGGATATCTGTGTTAGCTGTCCGTAATGTAGTAGTGTCAGACTAGAGGGAAGTCAACTAGCCAACACCATCCATCGCTAACTCTTGGGCTACTCTTCTACCAACGAATAGTGGGATTGATCGCGACATTATAATACCCCTACGGCTGAAAGGACGAGTATTTTCGGTGACGGGGATTCGAACCTGTAATTTGTAGCTTTCTGCTAGAGTGGTGGCCAAAGCTTTCAGTTCTAAATTCTAAAGTTACTAAAACGAGACATAATAATACACAAGAAAACTTTTCAAAAAAACGAAGTAAATACAGGCATGGCTATTATCAATACTTCAAAAACAATGCAAACAAGATCATCCCTACATAACAGCACGGGTAAGAATTAACATATAGCAATATATATAACTGTTCAATCAAAACTGAGTTTAATTTATCTTATTTTTGTCTGTTAGTAACATTATACTACACTGTTTTCATTTGTTTTTTTAAGGATTGATATTAGCCATCCCTACATTTACTTCGTTTTTGAAATGTGTTTTCTTTACTTCTTTGTTGTTGTTTTTTTAATGCAGTGTTTCAATAGACATAAGAAGGTTGTACTTATAACCAAGTTCTAAATACAATGAGGTTCCAACTGTAATATTTATTATTTATCTATTACTGGCTGGTAATTCCCGTTTCACCCTGTACTTAAGCTTTTTAAAAGAACACCGAATTTCTGTAAGAAAGCTAACTTCAAGGAGTAATGAGAACATAATTTACACTACAATTATTATTTTTGAAATTACTACTAGTTCTTAATAATGCTCATAAAAGCAGATAATCCATTTGAAACTATGTCAACTCAGTGAAATTGGGTGACACCATTGTTTAGGTTTTTGAGTTATTAGGGTAATAAAAAGAAGCAGAAGAAAGAAGAACAAGAAATTCAAACTTGTTACTGTGATATTTTCATACATTCCTAGAACTTGTGACTCAGTCAAGAAAACTCTTATTTAAATGAACGATTTGTTTGTCTGTTTTGGAATTCCGCGCAAAGCTACACGAGGGCTATCTGCGCTAGCCATCCCTAATTTAGCAGTGTAAGACTAGAGGGAAGGCAGCTAGTCATCACCACCCACCGCCAACTCTTGGGCTACTCTTTTAC